CCCCAAAACCCCAAAACCCCAAAACCCCAATACCACCTTATAAAACTGAAAAAATATAACTAAAATGGAATCTTTCCCAGACCAATCCTTTTCTCGCACTTTCCTACCTTCCCTCTCCAGACACCCCACCCTCCATCTCTCCAGTACCTCAGTACCTCAATCTCACACTACCTCTAGATCGCCCCAGAGGCCATCTCTGCCAGCCCCAAAAAAGCCAAATCCCAAAACATTCACTTGGAATACTACAGTTCTCACACAGCTGTGGTTTTAGATAAAACCTGAGAAATTAAAATAGAGAATTGTAAGAAGAGAAAGATGGAAATTTTTAGGTTTGGGGTTTATAAGCGGAGAGAGTTCTTATCAGAGCTGTGCTTTATACCTGGGAGTTCAGGTAAGAATTTGTACCGACTGGCACCTTTGAGACTGAGCCCGATTAAAGTGAGGGATGGATCTAGGATCTGGAGAGGTGTCCAGCTGATAGCCAAGATTGCTAGTGCAGAGATGGAAGAAATTCGATTCGATAGGTTTTATTTTTGTAAGAGAGCTTTTAAGAGAATTGTGTTAACAAGCACCAATCGTATTAAAAATGTATATTTTGGCAATTGTTGAATGGAAATCCAATCATGTAAAGCACCTACAAGACCAAGTAAAACCAGAAAAATCGAATTTAATAATTTAACGCTCAAAATGCTCAACCCAAGCGCTCAACCTCCCACCACCACAATCTCCTCACCCACAACCCCTATCAATGATAAAACCCAGCAATTCTGCCTCCTCCTCAAAATCCTACTAGATTCCTCTCTAGAGTCATCATTATCCAAGATCGTTCTCAACAACTGTGGTGTAAGAGCTAGTTTACTTAGGAAGGAAGTACCTCGAAGTGGGATTACCAAGTTTATCACGATAAGTCAGGTTGAGATGGTAGCATGGGAAGAAGATTGGATTTCAGAGATGCACAAAATTGCGATTAAGGTTAATATGTTTGTGGAGGATTAAAGGAAGGAGTGTTGGGGATTAAGGGAGTTATGTTTAATAAAACGGGGATTCAGTTGAGGCAAATGTATTCGGGGTTTTGGGGTTTTGGGGTTTTGGGG